CTTCATATTTCATTTCAAGTAAATGATATAAGTTTCTATTTTAAAGTAAAACATTCGACCTAATTGTTAAAAGTAAATGATATAATTTAAGCTTATTGTTTTTTCAGGTTTTAAAACACAGATCCTATTTCGTTTTGTTTTTTATAGTTCAAAATTTCGTTTTATTTGTCTGTACTACACTAAGAACTGGAAGAGTTGTAATATAACTGGCGTTCTGGATGGCGGGAGTGATTAGCTGATGAAACCGTCTGTTACCGCGACTGTTTGGTGTGCGATGCACGGAACTGTAGGAAAACCACTAGAAACGTCTACGCTGATCGAATAATCTGACAGTGGGTCAAAAGCCGCTCGTACAACCCCTGACGCGACATTTCAGTACAACTGGTCAGATCTTCATGTTTTGTAGGCCATCGAAAGTATAAAAAAACGAAACGAAATATAGATCTGTATTTTAATCAGATTGTTTTAAAGGTCGACTGAAGAAAAGGTACATATATAATCAAGGTGGTCAACAAGCCATGTGGCTTAAACATGGACCAAAGAAAAGGTATAATCAAGGTGGTCAACAAGCCATGTGGCTTAAACGTGGACCAAAGAAAAGGTATAATCAAGGTGGTCAACAAGCCATGTGGCTTAAACGTGGACCAAACAAAAGGTATAATCAAGGTGGTCAACAAGCCATGTGGCTTAAACATGGACCAAAGAAAAGGTATAATCAAGGTGGTCAACAAGCCATGTGGCTTAAACGTGGACCAAAGAAAAGGTATAATCAAGGTGGTCAACAAGCCATGTGGCTTAAAGGTGGACCAAAGAAATGGTATAAAAATTAGAAAGGTATGAAACATACCAAGTCATTTTGAGACTAACATAATTAATTTTTACTTCAATAATCCACTTGAGTTTAGAAGTATTTGAGCAGTTGGATGAAACCGGGGGACCTGGGGAGAAAACCTACAAGGTTTGACAGGCGATCCTTTTTATCGCAAAAAGGAAATAATAAACAGAGAGAGTGAGAGATGGGGTTTAACATGTACTAGATTATTTCGGGACTAACATATGGTTCAATTTTTTTCAATAATTCCCTTACGCATAGGTCTTTAGCAGTGGGTGGGAACTTGTCACATACAAGCGGGGGGATCGAAACCATGCCACTTGCCTCAATGACAGACCTAATCCAACATGCACATGTTAACCATCCAGCCACCCAATCCGCCAAGAAATCAGAGGACTCAATCAAATCCAAAAGGCAGTAATGTCCAATTGGGCAATCATAATAAACAATCCCAAAGAGTTCTATCAGGAATGTATCACACACACACACACAAGATTTCATAAAAGAAAGGGGGATAACTCTCGATACAGTTCCTTCCTTAGGCCAAAGTGAAAAATACCAAAAAGTTTTAAAAACTTCCATCAAGACAGAGAGAGACAGAGAGAGAAATGGGGTTTAACCTTGTAGGGGTCTTTAGCAGTGGGAGGTAACCAGAAGACCCAGAGAAAACCCACAAGATTGGCCATCAACAAGATTGGCCATTAACAAGAGAGAAAGAGAAATGGAGTTTAACCTCGTAGAGGTCTTTAGCAGTGGGAGGAAACCAGAAGACCCAGAGAAAACCCACGAGATTGGCCATCAACAAGAGAGAAAGAGAAATGGAGTTTAACCTCGTAGAGGTCTTTAGCAGTGGGAGGAAACCAGAAGACCCAGAGAAAACCCACGAGGTTGGCCATCAACAAGAACTTTGTTCGATGATGCATTCACAAACTTCCATCAACAAGAGAGAAAGAGAAATGGGGTTTAACCTCATAGAGGTCTTTAGCAGTGGGAGGAAACCAGGAGACCCAGAGAAAACCCACGAGGTTGGCCATCAATAAGATTGGCCATCAACAAATTTAAAGGTTCATTGTGATGATGCACTCACAAACTTAAAGGTCCAAATGCCTGGAAAGATCAATCTGAAAAATATGTTCAAAATCTATTCAATTTTCCAAACAAATTTAAAGAAATGTACACAGGCTCTGATTTGATTCAAAATAAAGTCTTGACTATGCAGTTAAATTTTATCAATTTCGACAGATTTAGTCAAACTTAAATTTTATTTATTTCAACAGATTTAGTCAAAGTTATATTAGATCCATTTCGACAAATTTAGTCAAAGTTAAATTAGATCCATTTCGACAGATTTAGTCAAAGTTAAATTAGATCCATTTCGACAGATTTAGTCAAAGTTAAATTTCACAAATTTCAACAGATTAAGTTGAAGTTAAATTTCACCAATTTCAACAGATTAAGTTGAAGTTAAATTTTATCAAATTTCAACAGATTAAGTCCATGTTAAATTTCATCAATTTCAATAGATGAAGTCGAAGGTAAATTTCTCAACAGGTGAACCTGAAGTTAAATTTCATCAATTTTGACGGATTAAGTAGAAGGTAAGTTTTATTAATTTCAACAGATTAAGTTGGAAGTTAAATTTCATCAATTGCGATAAATTAAGTCGATGGCAAGTTTTATCAATTTCAACAGAATACAGAATGAGCCGAAGTTAAATTTCACCAATTTCGACAGATTAAGTCTAAGGTAGGTTTTATCATTTTCGACAGAATAAGCCTAAGTTAAATTTCATCAATTTCAAGAGATTAAGTGCGCTCATTTGGTAGAATATGGTAAGAAAATAATACATGGGCGACGGCCGCTCATTTGGTAGAATATGGTAAGATAATAATACATGGGCGACGACCGCTCAGTTGGTAGAACATGGCAAGATCATAATACACCGGCGATGGGTGCTGATTTGGTAGAATATGGTAAGAACATAATACATGGGCAACAGGTGCTCATCAATTTCAAGAGATTAAGTGCACTCATTTGGTAGAATATGGTAAGAACATAATACATGGGTGACGGGCGCTCATTTGGTAGAATATGGTAAGATCATAATACATAGGGCGACGGGCGCTCATTTGGTAGAACATGGTAAGAACATAATACACCGGCGATGGGTGCTGATTTGGTAGAATATGGTAAGAACATAATACATGGGCAACAGGTGCTCATCAATTTCAAGAGATTAAGTGCACTCATTTGGTAGAATATGGTAAGAACATAATACATGGGTGACGAGCGCTCATTTGGTAGAATATGGTAAGATCATAATACATAGGGCGACGGGCGCTCATTTGGTAGAATATGGTAAGAACATAATCGAATACAAAAAATACATAAATGTCTAGTCAGCATTAGGCCACACCCCTTTGATTTCTATTCTTCTGCATCTTGATAAATAACTAGCACACTTGAAAGATATTTTGTTCAGGCCTGGAAATAACGGTTTTAGATGTACCTGACAAAATGTCAGGCACTAATGAAATAGTACATTGTACCTAACATTTTCAACTTAGTGCCAGACATGTATTAATAATACCAATAAAAAAGACAAATCAGTGCCGGACAAAAAGACAGGCACCAGAGGTTTAGTGCCTGACAAAGCCTGAATCTGTGCCTGACAAACATAGTCTGTGACAGGTGACTTATTTCCAGGCTTGCTTACTTTTTGTTTAAAATTTCAAACCTTAGAAATTTAGAAACAAACACTTTGGAACAGCAAATAAGAGTAGGCTACTTTTGGTGTGAAATTAGTCTTTTTTGGGGGAAAAAAAGAAGGAAAATTTTAAACAGGTGATCTCAAAGATCAGAAAATCAAATGCATGTGGCCTAACCTACTTTTTTCTATTCATTCATGGTATCAATCAGGCCATGCAACAACATATAAAAAGTTATATTCAATCAATTTCCTGTCTGTTATCTAATAATTGATTTCCGTTATAATGAATGAATGAATGATAAAAATAGTTTGCATGAATCCAATTCAACATTATATATGTTGACTATAACAGGTCAGGTCTAAATATTAAGGTCACCTGCAGATTTCGTCATGGTCACGAGATGTATATATAGGGTTAGGGCACGTGACTGTTGACGAGATTGTGGGTTAGGGTAAGGATTAGGGATAGGTCTAGAGTTGGGGTTAGCGCTAGCCCTGTTTATATCTTGTGACCTTGATGAAATATGCAGGTGGCCTTAATATTTAGACCTAACCAACTATATATAACATGAAAATTAGGCCATACAAAAGAAACATTCTGGTTCATGATCTGTTGTTATTTCAAAAAATAAACCTGATCTCATTAACTACCTCATGTAAATATTTTCTCTTGTTAACAAGAAGCATCTCTATATAAAGCAACTTTTTTAGTGATGCCAGAAGTGTACCATAGGCTCAGTTATCAAGTATGCAACCCTGATAATGTCACTGGTAACCACAAATGATACTGGATAATCATACATTTTATAAAACAGCATGATGAGATAAAACGTTGTGTGAGTAGTGTCAACTGACAAAATAAAATTAGAAAAACAAAGCCTCCCTCCTACATCTGAATGTTTGGAAGGATTGTCTAAGAACCATAATAATTTTTTTTTGTATAGCCTTAATATTTTAATATCAATACCATGGATGAAAACCAATCCTAGTCTATTGATCAGCAATGTTTCAAATTCAATACCATTTTTATGTTAACACGAACCTATCCCCACAAATCCATCTATCTAAATACTATTGGAAAAAGATTAAATGTTATATCAAAACCATTGTTATATAGTTCAGTCATATAATTTTGGGGGGGATATTTTCAAAGTCTGGCATATTTACGAGTAGAGCTTGCTCTTTTCTATCAATCAAAAAATTTGTTACCAAGAGAATTCACATCAGGTGTTTCAAGCGTGGGGTGTGGCTGAGCCCCTGGGTATGCTAGATGGAATTTCATGGAGTGTGACACGGGTGCTTGAGTAACGAGTCATGCCTCAGCTGCCATTTTCATAAGAACTTACTTTTGAATTTTATTGGAAATAACTTAACCAATAAATACTTTCATGGGAATGCATCTTTAACGTGTAGTTCATATAACTGCATTAGAACAGCAAATTTTTATAAAAACTTACTTTTGAATTCTATTGACAACAGTTGTGATAGAAACTTAACACATAGTCATGAACGCCAGATTAAAGATGCCTTCCCACAAAAACTGTGTGAGTTCTCCTGCCGTCTGTTAGGATAACAGAAACTTAAAGCACCAAGTCATGAACACCAGATTAACATTAACTTAACCTATAATCTTCAAGTGGGAATGTATCTTCAAGTGGGAGTGTATCTTTAAATCAAGCCTAAAATATTTTAATTTTGTACCAAAAGTTTACTTCTTAATTTCTGTAAATTAAACCATTTGCTTCTCTGTATTTCAATGTCAAAGGTCATCTTGCTTTGGTCTTTTTTTTTCCAATCTGTGGAGTTAGTAGTCAGTTTTCTGTGAAAAAACATGACAGGTCTCCTTCCAAAAAAAACATCTTATTGTGGAACTGTTGACAACTCCTGCAAGTTGACGACATCTGCAAGTAAATCATAACACAAAATTAAAGTCATAACGAAATATAAAATGTTGTTTAACGTCCAACAGTTCTGCATCGAAGATAGTATAAGTCATACAGTGTGCTATGAGGGAAATTTTGCAGCGGTAATGTACAGTCTCAGTCTTTCATGTTTAAGGATGCTTTTGCTCTTTTGCCTCTCGACACACCTTGACTTATCTTCGGGCGAGTCATTAAATACATCTCATGCTCAGGTTTACTAAAACGTCCCTCGAAGCCTGCCTGTAGTAGCACATACAGCAGGTTGTGAGCTAGGCTTTACAAAGGCCTGTTGGTGATGGACTACCAATTCCGGTTTCAGAGTTATGCCCCCCCCCCCAGACGAATTTCGACCCCGGGCGAAGCTGGACATCCTTCTAGTTAATAAATAAAGTTAAGTCTTGACAATAATTTATATCAATGTATATATAGTAAGTATCAGACCCATTTCTCTTCGAACTTGATTTCTCTTGGAAATTATTGATATCAATGTAGATAGTTCTGTAGTTGATAAATAAAGTTAAGTGCAGTAATTACCACAAACATTTCTCTTGGATAGTTATCTATGCGCAGGACGATTAAGTTATTACCACAACCAATTCTCTCCCAACTTGATTTATCTTTAGAAGAGGAATCTTTAAACATCGTAAAGCATCATCATTTAAATCTCAGCACCAAACAAACATCTTGAATTTTCAAGCTAAAAATAGTAAATTGTTAAATAAAATATAAAAATATTAAAGATACATTATGGGAGATTCGATAACGAGTTGGCAGTTCTCACTATAATAGTTAAAAACTAGATAATGTAAAGGCAATTTCAAGAATTTGCTGAAAATATCATTCAAATTGATCCTCTATAACTGAGAACTAAGTGTTTGAAATTTCAGCCTAGCCTCTATCATCATTACTAAAGTCAGTACGATAAACAACATAGTCTCGATTATCCATTTAATCGGCTCATAAGCCACTTAAGATTGCAGGCTAGCGTTGCCATCTAGAGTTGATTATGGTCTGGATAAGTTAATTAATGTCTAATTAATAATTTAGATAACATTTCAGGCCTAAAGAAAGACCTGCAATAGACAGATTTAGCTCTTGCATAATGTACATGTATGTTTAAACCAACTGTTGCCTATTTTCGAAGAAAATCAAAACATAATTATTTCTATATCTATTGCTTAATAGCTATAGACTGTCGACCACTTATATACAATCACTGGCATTATTCTAGCACTTAATAATAGCATAATTACCTCCCTTGTATTCTTTACGTAGAGGATCCGGAGCCACGGTGGCTTAGTTTAAGTAATATAAATAAGACACAGGTTTGATCCCAGTTGGCCGAGAAAGTTCATTGAGATTTTTCGGCGTGGTTTCCTCTTGTAAGTGGTGCAGGACGGCTGTATAGTAGTTCGGATAGGATATAAATAAGTATAAATAATAAATCGAGGTCCCATGTTCATGTTGGGCTACACATTGGCGTGCACGCAAGAGATCCCATGGCAATTGGAATTTGATAAGAGTAGGCCGAAAATGCACATGGTGTGTGTCTTCTTGAGAACTTGTCATTTGAGCGTGAACATTTACTGTGAGTTCAACTTTTAATAGAGCAAATTTTGACCTGCATAACCGTTAGGGGATTCCCCTTTCGACTTGTTGAGACATCACATGACAAGCAAAGTATGCGCCATGACGGCATATCGGAGATTGGTGACAACTGAAGCGATATTTTAATGTCAAACGTTACGCCTTCCACCATACCTTTTTTCAAATGTTGCTCCAACATTAATTAGCAGACGACAATCTTCCAAACAACAGTAATAACTAAAAGTGACATCTAGAGTATCAATTCCATGTTACCACTGTGGACCTTCTGTGTGACTTCGCTGCAAATAGGAGTGATTTCGGGTGCGCAGACGGGTTGTCACTTCGCGATCCACTCGGTACACCGTGAATAATTAACATGACAACAGTACGCTATGACAAATCGCCCAAAAATAAATGTAACGTCAAACCGGACTAATGAATTTAAAGCGGGTTTACATGCAGTGGGCTATGAGAGAAATATTGCCCCGACACCAACTGAATCTCAACGTTCAAGGGATTTCCGTCTATCCGGTGTGACAGTTTGAGATGGTTCCTGGTGTGTGATTACATATTACATATTATATATTAAACATAGGCTTACATTATTCAAGAGCTAAATCTGCCTATTGCAGGCCTTTCTGTAGGCGTGAAATGTTATCTAAATTATTAATTAGACATTAATTAACTTATCCAGACCATAATCAACTCTCGATGCCATCGCTATATAATAGTTCTCAATATAATAGTTAAAAACTAGATAATGTAAAGGGAATTTGTTGAAAATGTCAGTCAAATTGATCCACTCTGAACCGAGAATCTAGCGATTGAATTTTGGGCCTAGCCTAGATCATCATTACTAAACTCGGTACGATAAAAAACATAGTATCGATTATCCATTTCTTGATTTAATCATGAATGAGCGTAGATTATCAGATATGATCCTAATCCAGTAAATATCGCAGGCTAGCGATGACATCGAGGGTTGATTATGGTGTAATTAATATCTAATTAATAATTTAGAAAAGTTTTCAGGCCTAAAGAAAGACCTGCAATAGGCAGATTTAGCTCTTACATAATGTATGTTTCACAGAGGACTACGAAAGCGGCCTAGCGAATATTCACTGCTGATCAGTGTGAACTCGTGAACACGCCCTGCTTTTTGTTGGCTTGGTTGATTTCGGGGTTGTACATGTATTTAGTTACGAGAAATACATTGTGTGACATAACGACATATTTTGTGAGTATGTGGAATTTTAAAATCACAAGTTTTACATTTTAAGCCGCGGTAAGCTATTTTATTTTCGGTTACGTTTCTTTATCAAGATTGTTTTGTACCTAATTATGGTTCTTTTTGATTCCCAGAACGTTGAAATTGTCATCAAATTGTACCTGTAATATATCGTTTTAATCCTTTTGATTTACTTCCTATTAGATCTTTTTACCACGAGAGACACTCTACTTTCTTACTGAACACCTTATACCACTGCACATTTGGGGAGTTCATATAGCTAGCATTTTATTTATGTCACTGTTGTGTTTTACATTTCATCGGTTCTAATGTCTTTAGCTTTTTAAATCCGTAGTTTTATTTACAAGATTGACCCAGTTGGTATGCATAAATGTTTGCATTATAAAAAGGTTTTCTTAGAATTAGCTCACCAACCGTTGCTATTTATATTATTTGGGTAATACCTCATGCCTTTTAGAGTATGACGCCAGCTTACATGTTGCAATATGCTGATATCATATCGAGCAATCTAAGCGGGTAAACTACGATAATAATTAGTGCAATTTTTAATTTCTTACATTTTATAATTCATTTATACATTCTGAAAAATATAACAACTTTGAACAACATGTAACAACTTCGCACATTTGATCAACCCGATTTTTCAAGGCAGACGGGTTAAAGATACTTTCCCGTATATAATTAAAAATAATAATGGGTATCTTTCTGACAAAATACATTCGGTGCAAGGGGTCAAACAGGGATGTGTTCTTAGTCCCATGCTTTTCAATATATATATATATTAATTACTTGCAGGACTACTTCAAATATTCCACAAATCCCATTGATTCCCACACGTTAAATTATATTCCAATCTCCCATTCACATTTTGCTGACGACCTTGTAATGCTATCATTAACGGCAAATGGTCTCCAAAATAGCATAAATTATTTTAGAAAATAAAGTGCCGGAAACCCAATAACGCTTTGATCTGGAGCCACTCTGCTTTGTGCGACGGTTTTTGGGTATCGATCGTTGTTTTTCGGGAATGTAAATTTCTTATATTTGACAAATGGATACAAGATCAAAGTATTTAAAATCAGTTTAATAAATATTGTCTAGCGCCACTCTAGAATATTACTCTTCTGTATGCACGCCATTTTTTTTTTTCGGGCATCGCCAATGCTTGGTTCATCAATTTTTGGGGAGGGGGGATTTCTGGTGTCCAATGAACGTGTTTGCGGCCGTCTAATGGATTGGTAGATTGGATTTGCGTCCGTCTAATGTAAAATTTCCTTTCAATGGGTAGCCCCTGTTGTCAAAAGGTGGCCCGTTCTCGGATATTATTGACATACACTTCTTGTAACGTCCTCGGATATGAGTATTCGGTTGTTGGCGTTCACCATACACTAAGTCCCTATGAATTTGTCGGTATTTAAAAAAAAACATAATATGCTTCCTCGGTTGATCACATTAGTAAATGACTGTTCTATCATGATAGTGTACCATACATCAACTTTAAACGGTTATATTGTCTTTTTTCTCACGTGTGGTCAAAAGGGGGGGGGGGGACAAAAACCTGGTTATTTACAGGTTAAAGACCACGATAAGTGTCAAGTCCACAGTATGATAGTATAGAGCAGATGACCTCATTTGGCACCATGCGTGTCCATGATTAGGTGTAACTAGCATAGGGGCGCGATCGGTCGTATTTCCCCAATTATTTGCAATCTCCTGTGAATCCACATTTCTTTTATAAAAATTCAAGCGCATAAAATATATAAATTGGGGTATTATTTACATTTCTTCGAAATCCCTTGATGTAGTAGAGCTCAGAAATAACGAGCTCAGAAAGAGAGAGAGAGAGAGGAGGTAACTTCCACTCGACACAAACTAGGTCATTTCGGGACTAATTACATGGTTCAATTCTATTTCAATAATTCTCTTGCGCGTAGGGGTCTTTAGCAGTGGGAGGAAACCAGAGGACCCGGAGAAAACCCATGGTGTTGGACGGACGACCCTACTCCTTATCATGTACAAACGGGGAATCGAAACCACGCCAGTTGACTTAATGACAGACCATATGATACAAGGCGCACGCGCTAACTATTCGGCTATCCACCCCACCCCTAAAACAGACAAACACTACACACATATGTTAATTTTACTATACAAATGTCGAAATATGACAACACGTGAAGAAATAAGTATTAAGGACTATGAATTAAGAAATAAGAATTACGAACTGTGAATTAACAAATAAGAATAAAGAATGCTGAATACAGAGCTGTGTGGTCTTCCATAATTTTAAACCGAAGAAAACTACCTCATCTATTTTTTGTCACATAACTTTAACCACAGGAATCTGAAGTTCTATCCATATACATATATGCATACACCATTTCTGGTACGACATGGTGTATGCATATATATATACGGATGGATAGAAGGTCAGATTCCTGTGTTTTAATGAGGAAGAATTTGTATTACAGATTGTACTTGTCGTTAGTCACTGTCCATTTAAATAAAACGTTAAACCACATTTCATATAATTTCCACTGAAATAAAACGCCCTTGTTCTATTTAGGGAATCTTATAAACTCGCTACCGACAAAAGTACAAGACTAAAATGTATAGTTTGCACCGTCCAGCATGAGCCGAGGAAACCTGTCGAGTTTTCTCCATTTCCATTAAATTTATATATAGAATAATTAACTTAAAGATACATTATGGGGGATTAGGTAAAGGGCTGGCAGTTCTCACTATAATAGTTAAAAACTAGATAATGTAAAGGGAATTTGCTGAAAATTTCAGTAAAATTGATCCACTCTGAACCGAGAATTCAGCGATTGAATTTTGGGCCTAGCTTCGATCATCATTACTCAAGTCAGTACGATAAAAAAACATAGTCTCGATTATCCACTTTTTGATTTAATTATCAATGAGCGTTGAACAGCAGTTCGGATTCTAATCCAGTAAATATCGCAGGCTAGCGATGACATCGAGAGTTGGTTATGGTCTGGATAAGTAAATTAATGTCTAATTAATAATTTAGATAACATTTCAGGCCTAAAGCTGTTCCACCTCCCGGGTTTTCTCCGGGTCCTCCGGTTTCCTCCCACTGCTAAAGACCCCTACGCGCAAGCGAATTATTGAAATAAAATTAAACCATATGTTAGTCCCGAAATGACCTAGTTTTAGCTCTTGCATAATGTATGTTTAAAAAGTTACTTCCCTTGTTTATATATGGACTGATTTCAGCATGCCAGAGATATTACACCATAACTCAATGTTTACCTTAAACCGACAAATTTATATTGAATTTTCGGACGACTTAGCTGCCGTGGGCGTGTGTTTTGTTGCCTGGCAATCTATCTTATATAATATGTAACCTCCTTATATTTGTCATCTTTAAATGTTTTATTTTTTACTTTTCAGGTATAGAATGAAACGAAGAAAAAGAAAGGGTCAAACCAAACTATTTAAAACTGAAGTTAACATTGATTTTGAGAGAATAATGCACTATATTAGTTGAGAGAATAATTCTAATGCACTATACTTGTTGAGAGAATAATGCACTATACTTGTTGAGAGAATAATTAATGTGCATTTGAAAAACGCCAACAAAATGCCACGTGTAATTGGAAAACTTCCTGATGACCAATATGACAGGATAGTGGCTAATTCTACTGATCTTATAGACGACATTAAACATGACCCTGTTGGTCTTGCTCGTTCATTGTTTCAAAAACGTGTCTTCGATGAAGATGATCTAAAAATAATAAAGAAAGAAGGTAGTAAAACCGATGCTGCTGATGAATTGTTACATATTGTTCTAAACTCTGGTGACTCAGCTTATGGACAATTTATTGAGGCACTGAAAGAAAATGGCTATTCAAAAACTGCTAGACGATTAATATTAGGTTAGTTTTGATTTTATTGTTATAAAATTGAATTTTTAAAAATTAAATGTCAATTCACAACCAGTTCTGTTCAGACTTAAACCGTATTAGTTTATATAAATACCGTTAAAGATACGTTCCCAGAAAAATATTTATCGGGTGGTTATTTCCAATAAAAGTATGGCAAATTTGGTGTATATGGAGTGTATACAGGACAAAAATGTATGGGTTTCCCTAATGTCTGCTCGCGTGACGTCAAAGATTGCACGCGGAGATTGAGCGCGTGATGTACATGTTGATAAACTTTATGAAGAGTTAGACGTACAACACTTTCTGAGATAAATATCACGGAAAAAGACGTGGGCAGTGGATAATCCGAGAATTTAATTAGGCTTCGATATTTATGATAAATGGATAGCAATTAAAGACAACATCGTCTTGTGTATGCTAGGTTTTAATGGATTTTTATAACAGGGTATTCCCTCGCGTAAACATTGTTTTGAGAACGATTTATAGCAAAATTTTGATAAGATTAATTATTTTGAATATGTTTTTAGTCCAAATACATCATTAAATTACCCAGTTTGTACACGGGAACGTATCTGTAAAGTTTGTCATCTACAAAAAATTTCATATCACGACTTGCTTCATAGATGAAATATGACGACTTGTTGATATTGTTATAAAAAATTTTCATAGATGAAATATGACGACTTGTTGATAGTGTTATACAAATTTGATCATAGATGAAATATGACGACATATAGTAATAACATTATTACAACACCGGTCACCGTGACAGTTGTCAGTCTACAGGTAAAAAAAATATTTACGTTCAATTACAGACAAAGAATTAAAAGAAGTCCATGAACCAAAGGGTGGGAATCCCGAGGACAGATCCCGGGAGAGAGTGGTGGTTACAGAAAAGCTGCATATCAAAGTGGAAAAAGGGAGACCACCCGATGACATGTACAGCAAGATACGAGGCAATTATGATTTCCTCGCGGACGAAATTAAAAACGATTATAGGGATGTAATGTGTAGTTTGTTTAATTATAAAGCCATCAGTGAGGATGATGTGGAACAAATAAAGAGAGAAGAGATGAGTCAGGGTAGTAAAATAGCAGCCACCAGGGAAATGTTAGATATTCTTTTAAACCGCGGTGAAACGGGGTATAAGAAATTCCTTGAAGCACTTTATACAAATAAATGTTTTAATGCTGTATTCAGATTGGAACCAGGTTAGTTATAATTAATTAAAATTAGTCACGACTCTAAGAGTTTAAATCAGTCAGAGTATGTAATGACATTATTTAAGTGTGGTTTAATGTCACTCGTGTTGTTTCAATATATCACGCAATGTCTCAAGCTCAAGACCATTAAACAACTTAAAAATACAGACACTCGCACATGCTTTGCAATGAAATGCGTCACACGGGTCCAAAATTTAAACTAGTATAAATAATGTACGTTTTGCACATTGCCCGTACCATTATTTGAAATAATGATATGCCAACATCAAAGGATGACGTCACATCTGTATTTTAAGAATAATTAGTGGTACATGTACAATATATTTATTTAAAATACAGATGTGACGTCATCCTTTGATGTTTAATGTTACAAGATAAACCTGCGGAAAAGACAGAATATAGACATTGCAAAAAATAAAAAAAATATCAAATCCTTACGAAAAGGATGCATTACCACAAAAGTATTTATCGGGTGGTTTTTCCAATAAAAGTATGGCACATCTGGTATGGAAACGCCCAATTTTACTAGCAAAATACTTGATTCCAAGAAAATGCCAATGGGACGCGCATCTGCTCGAGCCATGGTGTTGAGTGCTTGGTATGTGCTGATTGAATGACTAGCGGTTGTGAGAGCAGTGAGAGACCTAAACAACTCTGTGATTGAAAGGCGGGAAAATAAGTTGGAATATTTGATACCCGTTTCGTGGTTGTGGTGTATTTTTTTTTTTATTTCTAGAGGTTTTTTTCAATATAAATTGTAATATGTTCTACTTTCAGGTTTTGGCAGAGATGGATCAGCCGAACCAGGTATGGCTACAGATAAATTATTGACATGGTTGCAGGTATGTATTGATTGGTATATTTCTATCACCGACCCCCATCCATTATATACCAAAACCTGGATTTTAAACATCATATAAATCATATCAAATATCCATCAATTCTGTTAACATGTAAATCTAATACAATTATATAGGTTTATAATTTACTTAATACAGATGTGTGGCCCGTCTGTCAATGTAAAACTATTTTATATTAACAGGGCAGCTTTCATAGATCAGCCGAACCAGGTATGGCTACAGATGAATTATTGACAGGGTCGCTGGTATGTATTGATTGGTATATTTCTATCACCGACCCTCATCCATTATATACCAAAACCTGGACTGTTAAACGTCATATAAATCATATTAAATATCCATCAACTCTGGGGGGGTTTGGATGGTCGAATGGTTAGCACGTGCGCGTTGTATCATATGGTCTGTCATTGAGTCAACTGGCGTGGTTTCGATCCCTGGTTGTACGTGACAAGGAGTAAGATCGCCTTTCCTACCTCGTGGGTTTTTTCTGGGTCCACCGATTTCCCTCCACTGCTAAAGACCTCTACGCGCAAACATATTATTGAAAAAAAAAATTGAACCATATGTTAGTCCCGAAATGACCTAGTTTGTGTCGAGTGGACGTTAAACCCCATTTCTCTCTCTTCAGATATATGATACAATATAATAGTAGTGGTCTCTCTCTCTCTCTCTCTCTCACTCTCTCTCTCTCTCTCAATTCTGTTAACATGTAAATCTACAGTTACATAGGTTCATATTTTACTTGATATATATGTGTGGTCAGTCCGTCAATGTAAAAGTGGTTGGTACCCAAGAACGCTTTTCGTTAATATAACTATTTTATATTAATAGGACTTTGATAGATCAACCCCGCCTTGGTTTAACGAGTTTTTGAAAGAGCATAAAGATTTATTTGGTAAGTAAATTAAATGTTTGTATTATTTTGCATGGCCAGATATTTTACTTTACTACTGGTGAATTCCCAATCCTAATGATGAGATCAACACACATTTTTTCTTTGTGTGGCTTTGTGTTGCCTACAGGCCGCAATTCTTAATGGGTCGTCTTGGAGCTTGGCATATGTATTCCTTATAGCCTAAGGACGGCAACTATCGATATTGGTCCATGTCCACCCCAAGTGCACAGCCACGTCTAATTTTTGTGTTTATCGTCTACAGGCTGCAATTCCAAATGGATCGTCTCGGAACTTTGCATATTTATTCCTTATACCGTAATGACAGCAACTGTTTATTTTGGTGAATGCCCCGACCAACTTCTTTGTTAATATTTAATCTGTAAATTTGGGAAAACGAACCCAACGCCTAACCTTCTTTCCCTTTAGTTTGATAACATTCGTAATATAAAAAAAATGGTTTAGTGAAAGCTGGATATTCCCCCTCCCCCACATCTGCTCGAGTCAAGGATGCAAATGGAGTTTTCTCCCTTAGACATCCTTGTCAAATTCATTAAAAACTGCACCATGATTAACCAAACAAGCTAACATTGTCTTTGATATATATATGTTACAGTCAATTTGTGTAACCAGTCATTTCATGTAATGACTAAAAGAATCAGTCATTACGTGAAATGCCTGTGAGCATCAGGCAATACGTGCAATGACTAAAAATTCCAGTCAATACACGAAATGACTAAAAATCATGGTCGGGGATTACGCGAAATGACTGAAGTGCTGTTAAACCTATAAAAATACACTGTAAACCATTTTTTGACGTCAAATCAAACGTTAAATCATACATTGCAGAAAAATATGCATATAGTTGTCAAATCTCATTTTATTTCAAAAATTCTGACTGGTTTATCTCTAAAGTCGCATGTTTTTGCATAACATACTGCTATGACAGCGGTTGAAGCATTTTGATTTTGATATTGTTTTTGAAACATTTGCATCTATTCGTCCCTTGAAACCTGCATCATTGATATTCTAGAGGGTTGGGCGTTGGGGGAGCTATTCCAATTTCTATAGGATGAAATTCTATAGTGTTCTACTTAATTTTGGGGGTCTGTAGGAAATAATGACCAGAAATATTTTGTAGTGCAAATCTCATAATTTTTTCTACAGATTTAAGCTATAGTGTTTTCTGTAGTAAATTCTATAGTTGTCTGTTTGTCTTTAATCAAGTTTTGTGAACAGACTGCACAGTTACTGAGTTAGTTGTCTCACTGTCTTCAGTTTCTTGTAAATACTTCTATGAAGTTGTTATACATGTACATTGAATTTGATTGGCCGAGAAAGTTCATCCAGATTTTCCGGCGTGGTTCTCCCTTGTCAGTGATGCAGGACGGAGGGGCTGACAAGGAAAGCTGTCTAGTCGTTCGGATGGGACGAACAACCGAGGTCCCGTGTACACATTGGCGTGCACGTAAAAGATCCCTTGGCAGTTGGAATTTGATATAAGAGTAGGCCGTAGTGCCGCTGTCCGGGCAAAATTTCCCTCATAGCACACTGTATGGCTTATGCCCGTCTTCATTAGCCCAGGTTAGGAGCAGAACAGTAGGACGTTAAACTCCATTTCATTTCAATTCATTTCACATTGAATTTGAATAATTAAAATTCAGCCATGAACAAACAGTCTTCTCTTGGATTAACTTAAATCAATCCGTTAGCTAACGGATAATGAAATTTAACGGATCGTTAACAAACGACACGTTAGCAAGATAATGATCCATTAGAGTTTAACGGACCATTAAAATAACTTACTTTGAGCAACCGGCGGATCAACTTGGCTAGCTGGAGGTGCAAAATCCTGACTGGTAGTTTGTGTGGTTGTTTGTGGAGGTCCGCTTCCATCGAAGTAATACCTTTATTGTCGTTCGTGTGTTCGTCTCTGGAGTTTAACGTCAACTTCCACCGGGGGTGATATCGTAGACAATCTTTATTGTCATGTGCAAGGGGCTTAAGAAGAAGTCTCTTGTGTGAAACCGCTTGGGGACAGTCATTTAAGGGAAGCCACAGATTAGAAACTCAATTAAAACAAGTATGACTATTAGTGGATGAAACAGAGCCACTGGGATGTGAAAACACCTGTTCATTAACACCTGACTTTTTATCCGATTTTGATGAAACTTAAAACATATCTTTAAATCACACGGATCTCAGTTCTTTTGATATTTAAAAATTTCAGACCATAACTTTCAAAATCGGATAACCAGCGGCTGCCAGGCAGGATACGCCCACATTTTCCAAAGGATGGATAGAGAACAAGCCAAAAACAAACGCGTTTTTTTTGTACAATCGGGAGCAATAATCCAGAAAGTTATGGCCTGAAATGTGCAAATATCGAAAGGGACCGAGATCTTTGGGATATAAAGATATGTTTTAATATGTATTACACACTTCTACACAATTTGCGTACAAAGAGCGGACATTTTGTCGGGCAGTTTCATCTCACTTTTCCAGAAATTCGAATTTAGCCTTATTTATTGTTGGATGGTGATGTATTTAAATGGTTTTTAAAATCGGAAAAAATTGCGACCTCTAGAGAATCTGCAAGCTAAAAATGCGATTTTTTTCGAATAATCAGGGGCCATAATCCAAAAAGTGAAGTTCGGTATCCGCGATTTTTAAAAGGAATCAAGATCTTAGTGTGTAATGGTGATATATTCACACGTTTTTTTTTTAAATCGGATAAAAATTGTGACCTCTACAGGGGCCACAAGCTAAAAACGTGATTTTTGGTTCAATCAAGGGCCATAATTCAGGAAGTTACGATCCGATATGCGCGAATATCAAAAGTAACCAATATTTTTGGGTTATAAACATGTATTACATGTTTCCTCGTGGGTTTTCTTCAGGTCCTCCGGTTTCCTCCCACTGCTAACCCCTACGCGCAAGCGAATTATTAAAATAAAATTGAACCATATGTTAGTCCCGAAATGACCTAGTTTGTGTCGAGTGGACGTTAAACCCCATATCTCTCTCTCTCTCTCTCTCTCTCTCTCTCTCGCAGTTTTGGCCCGATTTTCACAAAATCCTGACCTCTAGAGGATATACAAGCTAAAAACGAGGGGCTGCCATTTTGTCTGGCAGTTTTGGTCCAATTTTCATGAAATTCAAACTCAGACAAAATTACAGTGTAACGGTGATATATCCAAACGTTTTTTTTAATCGGATAATAATTGTGACCTCTATAACCTTTAAAATGAACAGATGTGTCCATCAGACAATGACAACATTGTCCTTTTATGTGTTAGGCCTACACATATTGCCTGATTTGCAAAATCTGCAATCAGGCATTAAGTGTAAAAAGAAGGTAGGAATTTTAGTCATTTCGTGTAATGTCTGGATTTTTCAGTCATTACACGTATTGCAGGTGCTCACAGGCTCTTCGCGAAATGACTGATTTGTTTAGTCATTACGTGAAATGACCGATTACACAGGTTGACTGTAACATATATACGTGTATATAGTGAATGTTTAATATTTACATCTATGTCAGGTAAAAAGAGCGTGGATAGTTCACGATTGAGGACAATGAAAGGTAGGTTTTTACATGTAGACAGTACGCCCACAATTTCATCTGGTATATTGTCGTCGCCCTTGTCCGTCCGTCCGTCCACAATTTGTTTGTGGACACTCTAGAGGTCACAATTCTTATCCATATGGCCACCCCTCGTATAACGCAAATGGTGTAAATATGTGGTATATCAAGGTTGTAGACCCTCTAGAGGCCACAATTTTGTTCCGATATTGATCCAACCTTAAATGTATGCTTATATCACAAAGATCTTGGTTCCTGTCGATATTCGCGCACATCGGATCGTAACTTACTGAATTATGGCCCTTGATCCTATGAAAAATCGCGTTTTAAGCCTGTGGTCCGTCTAGAGGTAACAGTTTTTATCCAATTTAAAAAAAAAAACGTTTAAGTATATCACCGTTACACCCTAATGATGGTTGAGTTCCAATTTCGTGAAAATCGGACCAAAACTGCCGGACAAAATGGCCGCCTCTCGTATTCTAAGAGTGTAAAAATATGGTATATCAAGGTTGTGGACCCTCTAGAGGTCACAATATTAATTCGATTTGGATGAAACTTAAAATGCATGTTTATAACCCCAAGATCTTGGTTCCTTTCGATATTCCCGCATATCGGATCGTAACTTGCTGAATTATGGCCCCTGATTGTACGAAAAATCGCGTTTTTAGCTTGTGGTCCCTATAGAGGTCATAATTTTTATCCGATTTTAAAAAAAACGTATTATTATAACACCGTTACACCGTAGTGTTGGTTGAGTTCAAATTTTGTGAAAATCTGAAGAAAACTGCCAGACAAAATGGTCGCCCCTCCACGCAAATAGTGTAAACATCTGGTATATCAAGCGTTTTGTTTAGCTTGTTCTCTATCCATCTCTTGCAAAATGTGGGCGTATCCTGCCTGACAGCCGCTGGTTACTTTCTAGAATACGATCTCTTTATCATCCGTCTGTCTGACTGTCTGTCTGTCTGCCCGTCACACTTTTTGGGACACAATAACTCTCTTTCTAATTGAGCTAGAATGTTAAAACTTGGTATAGGTGTTTATTAGATCAATGCTTCGAAGATGAGCATTTTCTGCTTAGGGTAAGCAGAGATAAGGAATGTGATTGGTTTATGCTTTGGGACACGATAACTTTAGTTCTAATTAAGTGAGAGTGATGAAACTTGGTGTATAGTTTCATTAATCAATTAATACCTTGACTAAGTTCGATAATGAGCATTTTCTGCTCAGGGTAAGCAGAGCGATGAGCAATTTGATTGGTCGAGACTTTGTAACACACTTACTCTAATTCGAATTGAGTTAGAATGTTCACACTTGGCGTAGGTGTCTATTAGGTGAATGCCTTGATGGAGTTCGAAGATGAGAATTTTCTGCTTAGGGTACGCCGAGATAAGCAATTTTCTTGGTTGATGCTTTGGGACACGATAACTTTAGTTATAATTAAGTGAGGGTGCGGACACTTGGTGTATAGCTTTATTACATCAATATATTGACTAAGTTCGATGATGAACATTTTCCGCTGAGGATAAGCAGAGCGATAAGCAATTTGATTTGTCAAGACTTTGGAACACAATAACTCTCCTTCTAATTGCGCTAGAATGTTCAAACTTGGTGTAGGCGTTCATTAGTTGAATGCCTGGATGGAGTTCTATGATGAATATTGTCTGCTTACGGTAAGCAGAGATAAGCAATCTGATTGGTTGATGCTTTGGGTCACGATAACTTTAGTTTTAATTAAGTGAGAGTGTTGAAACGCCGAGTATAGATTCATTATATCATTACCTTGACTACGTTCGATGTTAAGAATTTTCTGCTTAGGCTAAGGCGCGATAAGCAATTTGATTGGTCAAGACTTTTGAACATAACAACTCTGCTTTTAATTGAGTTAGAATGTTTAAACTTGTTGTAGATGTTCATTAGGTGTATGTCTTGACTAAGTTCAATGATTAACATTTCGAGCTGAAGCTAAGCAGAGCTAATCAATTTCATTGGCCGATGCTTTGGGACAAGATAATCTTGATTCTATCTGATAGAGAGTGGTGAAACTTAGTGTATAGTTGATAATCTGTGCGATTAATTAATGTGTCATCTATTTATTTTGGGATTTCGGCGGGGGACATCAGCCTCACTGTTGGCTTGTGTTAAATGCACTGTCAAGGAAGGAACACTATTGCGTATTCTAATAGAAATTTCGAAACTTCCATTTCTTCAACATACCAAGTTTGACATGTCTTTCATGTATATAGCTGATTACATTTATGAGCATTGGCCGAGAAAGTTCATCGGGATTTTCCGACGTGCTTTCCCCTTGTCAGTGATGCAGGACGGAGGGCGTAACAAGGACAGCTATCTAGTCATTCGTATGAACGAAAAATCGAGGTCCCGTGTATACATTGGCGTGCACGTACAAGATCCCTTAGCAGTTGGAATTCGACATAACAGTAGGCGATAGTGCCGCTGCCCGGGCAAAATTTCCATCATAGCCCACTGTATGGCGTATGCCCGTCTTCATTAGCCCAGTATCATAGCAGAACAGTAGGACGTTAAACCCCATTTCATTTCACATTTTGCGCAATGATACAATTAAATAATATCTATCTGTTCCTTAAAATTAAATTTTAACGGTTTCCTTCAAGATATTTTCCTTCAATGTGACGACATTTATATTTTATGTATTAGAAAAATAAATATTTCTTATTTAGTGTAAACGTAAAACGAGTAAAAGGCGCCATTCTGCCTGGACCAGTGACGTCTTATGTAAACAATGCACGCGCCATTGAGCCAATGATTGACGACCCGTGATGTGATGTCACATGTTAAAAACATTTCGCTATACCTCTGTCAAACAGATTGGTTTGTCTTGTGTAATCTTTTGTGTGTGGTCCAGTCCCCCTGCACTCAACCTTTTTTTTTTTTTTTTTAAATTGTTTAAAGCATGAGAAAACGATAATCAACTTTCCGCGAGCCCGTTTATTTTATGCCCCCTTAGCCGAACACTTGGTCAATGTTATAGAGGCCACTGTATTTGAAAGCTCTTTTTCACATTTGTTGTGAACTGTTGTATACCTCATAATTTCATGTTAAATGTTTCTCTTCAGACAAAGCACTCACCACCCTTGAAGATGTTAATGAAAAAGAATATGTAAAGACTCGTGCTCTTGGTGAAGGTTTGAAGATACTCAGGAGTCATCACATCCTAGGAATAATAGGAGCTGCTGGAGATGGTAAAACGACGCTATCAATGATGATAGCAAATCAATTCATTGAAGAACATCCAGAATATAAACCATTGTTGATTAATGACCTTGATGATTTAAAGGAAGTGAACTTTGAAGATGATAAGTATCTTTATATCATCGATGACATGTATGGTAGATTTAATAAATTACAGGCACGTATTGATAAATGGCCCACTCATTTAGGTAATCTTCGAATTAATAAAGAAAGAGGCAATTTAGTTATCATTTATATAATGAGAGATTATATTTACCGTTCTTCTAAATATCAGTTAGACAAATATGATTTATTTGTGGATGATATTGCAAAGACAACTCAAATATTTCTTCATAAAAGCAAATTATCATTAAGCGATGAAGAAAAGGGCCGTATTTTAGATTTTTATGGAGTTACTTCTTATAAGATAATTTCCAAAATTATTGACTGCTTCGGTTTTCCATCAATTGTTAGTTTATGTGGCAAGTTAATGAATGATAAATTACCGGAGGGTTTAATAAGTTCGCATGATTTTCTTCTTTTGGAATTAGAAACGTTTTGGGAGGAAAATGAATATATATATGCTACATTACTGCTAGTATTTTGTTTGCATACTGTTTCAGAAAAAGACCTTAAACAAAGATCTTCCGAGAGAGTTGAGTCAGTAATTTCGACAGTTTGTAAAGTAGTATGCAAAGAATTTGAACTGAAAGTTGCTAAGCGTAAACTCAATGAACTTTCAGATACATTCATCAAATACATTGAAGAAAATTATATGAAAATATTTTCATTGCGAGACTTTGTTGAGGCTCCATTTTTACACCATCTTTCTGATAAATGTATGGAAATGGCTTTACAATACTGTTCTTTTGAACTATTGATGGCATTGGTTAGAACAAACCACCAAGAAGAGCGATGCATTTTAATCCGTGACATTCATTACGATGACCTTTTAATGCGATGTATTAAAGAATTACATGATCAGAATGCTGATATCGTCAGCCATCCTGCTTTCATTGACTATAAATTTTTATCACGTTTTCTTGGTATGGATGGTATAGCCAATTTATTGCACGACACACAATGTATAAATTTGGGAGATATTCGTGATATACAAGAAAGTGGCAATTTTCTTCATTACATCACACTTCATGGAGACATGAGATGTCTCGAAGCAGCACTCTCTTATTTTCATAATCAGCTTCCCGAATTAGTTGAGGAAAAAACAGATATGGGATGGGATATCATCGGTCTCGCTGCTGTTTCGATGCATGACCCAATCGAAAAAATTAATCTTTTAAAAGAAAAGAAAATCGGAGATTGTTTGGCCTTACCACATTTAGCGGTTTACTCAGATAAATTCGACATTGTCGAATATATCAGTAATTTTAAAAACTTCGACAAAAGCAAGCGGGATACTAAGTCAAGAACAATTCTTCACAATGCTTGTAATTCAAATCATGACAATCGTCAAATAATTAACTTTTTGATAGGCAAAGCATTTGATGTAAATGCTAGAGATGAAAGTGGCAGTACGCCACTTCACCTGGCTGTTGCGAGAGGCAAACCACAGACTGTATCAATTTTAATTAGCAAAGGCGCGGAAGTTAATGTGAAGGATAATATAGGCAGATTACCAATTCATAATATTAGCAGCTTATTTGGTGGTAGAACCGATGTTCTAAATCAGTTAATCCAAGCGGGGTCACTATTACACGAGGCTGATAACCTCGGCCGAATCCCATTACTAGAAGTAATAGCTAATGTTGACAGAAAGTGTTTCGAATTACTAATTAACAGGCTGCCATCTCTTGATACCCTGAACAAGCATATCCATAGCATACTTCTTGAATCAACACAGTTAATGAATGACTCCATGTTTAGATCTATTTTAAATACTATAAATGAAATACATATTAATAATTTGGTTGGGAATATTTTATTCAATTGCTGTTCTTCTGTTGATAAGATGAGAATTTTACACAATAAAGGCGTGGATTTTAATGTAGTAGATGACAATAGTCTTAGTGTTCTCCACCTCAGTTGTAGATTAGGTTCCATTGACACAGTCCGTTATTTGGTGAATGAAATAGGATTAAACATAACTCAAAAAGACGATGATGGCCGCACTCCTGTATTTTATTCTGTGGTGTCGGATATCGATCCTGTCAAAAAACTCAAGTTCTTTTTGTCAGAAGGGTGTAGCTTGCATGTTGTTGATGATGAAAACCGTGGTTTACTTCACTTTAGTTGTAATTTAGGTACACCTCAGACTGTGGAATATCTTATAAATGAAGTCGGGCTGGGTGTCAACCATAAAGACAATAATGGTCGGACACCAGCTACGTACTGTTCTATGTCTAACAGAAATTCTATCAGTAAACTCAAATTCTTGTCTTCAAAAGGGGCAAGTTTACACACTGTAGATAACAATAATAATAGTTTACTGCATGTTAGTTGTCACTGGGGTACTGTTGAAACTGTTGAATACCTGGTGAATGAAATAGGGCTGGATGTCAACCATAAAGACATTAATGGTTTGACACCAGCAATGGAATGTTCTATTTCTAACATAAATCCTATCAGTAAACTCAAATTCTTGTCTTCAAAAGGGGCAAGTTTACTCACTGTAAATAACAATAATATGGGTTTACTGCAGGTTAGTTGTCAAGGGGGTACCATTGGAACTGTTAAATATCTGGTGAATGAAATAGGGCTGGATGTCAACTATAAAGACAATAGTGGTTGGACAACAGCTATGGACTGTTCTATTTCTGACATAAATCCTATCAGTAAACTCAAATTCTTGTCTTTAAAAGGGGCAAGTTTACACGCTGTAGATAACAATAATAAGAGTTTACTGCATGTTAGTTGTCTAGACGGTACTGTTGAAACTGTTGAATACCTGGTGAATGAAATCGGACTGGATGTCAACCACGAAAACAATAAAGGTAAAACACCGGCTATGTTCTGTTCTATGTCTAACATAAATTCTATCAAGAAACTCAAAATCCTGTCTGCAAAGGGGGTAAGTTTTCGTGTAGTAGACAACAATAACAACAGTTTACTGCATTTTAGTTCTGCTTGTGGTACTACTGAAACTATTGAATACCTGGTGAATGAAATCGGGCTTGGTGTCAACCATAAAAGCAGTAGAGGCTGGACACCGGCTATGGAATGTTCTATTTCTAAAGTAAACCCTATCAGTAAACTCAAATTCTTGTCTTCAAAAGGGGCAAGTTTACACACTGTAGATAACAATAATAATAGTTTACTGCATGTTAGTTGTCACTGGGGTACTGTTGAAACTGTTGAATATCTAGTGAATGAAATAGGGCTGGATGTCAACCATAAAGACATTAATGGTTTGACACCAGCAATGGAATGTTCTATTTCTAATATAAATCCTATCAGTAAACTCAAATTCTTGTCTTCAAAAGGGGCAAGTTTACACACTGTAAATAACAATAATATGAGTTTACTACAGGTTAGTTGTCAACGGGGTACCATTGGAACTGTTGAATATCTGGTGAATGAAATAGGGCTGGATGTCAACCATAAAGACAATAATGGTTTGACACCAGTAATGGGATGTTCTATTTCTAAAATAAATCCTATTAGTAAACTCAAACTCTTGTCTTCAAAAGGGGCAAGTTTACACACTGTAAATAACATTAATATGAGTTTACTGCAGGTTAGTTGTCAAGGGGGTACCATTGGAACTGTTGAATATCTAGTGAATGAAATAGGGCTGGATGTCAACCATGAAGACATTAATGGTTGGACACCGGCCATGGACTGTTCTATTTCTAACATAAATTCTATCATGAAACTCAAATTCTTGTCTTCAAAGGGTGTAAGTTTACATGCTGTGGAAAGCAATAATATGAGTTTACTGCATGTTAGTTGTCTAGGCGGTACTGTTGAAACTGTTGAATATCTGGTGAATGACATCAGACTGGATGTAAACCATAAAGACAATAATGGTTTGACACCAGCTATCAACTGTTCTATGTCTAAGATAAATTCTATCATGAAACTCAAATTCTTGTCTTCAAAAGGGGCAAGTTTACACGCTGTGGAAAGCAATAATAGTAGTTTACTGCATGTTAGTTGTCTAGGCGGTACTGTTGAAACTGTTGAATATCTGGTGAATGAAATCGGGCTGGATATCAACCATAAAAACAATAATGGTTGGACACCAGCTATGTACTGTTCTGTTTCTAACATCAATCCTATCATGAAACTCAAATTCTTGTCTTCAAAAGGGGTAAGTTTACATGCCGTAGATAACGATAATATGAGTTTACTGAATGCTAGTTGTCTAGAGGGTAATACTGAAACTGTTGAATATCTGGTGAATGAAATAGGGCTGGATATCAACCATAAAAACAATAATGGTTGGACACCAGCTATGTACTGTTCTGTTTCTAACATCAATCCTATCATGAAACTCAAATTCTTGTCTTCAAAAGGGGTAAGTTTACATGCCGTAGATAACGATAATATGAGTTTACTGAATGCTAGTTGTCTAGAGGGTAATACTGAAACTGTTGAATATCTGGTGAATGAAATAGGGCTGGATATCAACCATAAAAACAATAATGGTTGGACACCAGCTATCTGCTGTTCTATCTCTACGATAAATTCTATCATGAAACTCAAATTCTTGTCTTCAAAAGGGGTAAGTTTACATGCCGTAGATAACAATAATACGAGTTTACTGCATGTTAGTTGTAAAGAGGGTACTATTGAAACTGTGGAATATCTAGTGAATGAAGTAGGGCTAGATGTCAATCAGTCACATGACAATGATATCCCATTATTATTATTTTGTTTCGACTCAGAGATTCAACAGATGGAAAAGGTCAGTTTTCTGATTTCAAAGGGTGCTATGATAATAATTTGTCGACCATATAAAGATTTCTTTATGGATGATGGCGACTCTGATAAATGTAGTTTTCCTCTACATCACAGCTGTTACCTGGGTACACTAGACACAGTAAAAGTTTTAGTCAATGATGCAGGATACGATGTAAATTATACTGACGATGACAATATGACAGCTTTACTCTGGTGTTTTAAAACAAAGATTCAACAACAAGAAAAGATTAGGTTCCTTATCTTTAAAGGCGCAAAGATTACAATATGTCAACCTTGAAAAAACTTTTCCTGTAATATCCTGTAAGAAAATAGTCAGAACAAATATTTGGACAAGACCTTAACGCAGAAATTTGAACTAGGTTGTCGACCTTAGGTTGTACAGTTGGGTGTTTGAAATAACGCGGGTTCCTCTTAATTCGTAAGTGAACACAGACATGTCACATGAACAATAAAAAGCACCAGAATGACGTCAGATTCGAGATCGTATTAAATATCTTAATTTTAGAATATATAAAAATAACCACTACACCAATATTATAGTCGTATCAGGTGTAGCTATGGTTTTGACAATCGTGTACGAGAGAGAGAGAGAGGGGGGATCTTGTACAAAGTTCCACAAATGACTAGACAGCTGTCCTTGTCAGGCCCTCCGTCCTGCATCACTGACAAGGGGAAACCACGCCGGAAAATCTGGATGAACTTTCTCGGCCAATGCAGGGATCGAACACCCGACCTCCAGGCTAGCGTTACTACATGTAAGTTCTATAGAGTTGTATAGTATAGTTACTACATGTAAGTTCTATAGAGTTGTATAGTACAGTTACTACATGTAAGTTCTATAGTGTTGTATAATACAGTTACTACATGTAAGTTCTATAGAGTTGTATAATACAGTTACTACATGTAAGTTCTATAGAGTTGTATAATTCACTTACTACATGTAAGTTCTATAGAGTTGTATAGTTACTACATGTAAGTTCTATAGAGTTGTATAGTTCAGTTACTACATATAAGTTCTATAGAGTTGTATATTACAGTTACTACATGTTAATACATGTATAATACAGTTACTGTTAGTTCTATAGTGTTGTATAATACATGTAAGTTGTATAGTTTTGTATAGTACATTTACTGTTAGTTCTAGTTGACTTATCAGGAAGTTCTCACATGACGGCCGAGTGATATGACGATATAATAGTAAGAAAATAAAATCCTGTGGCCTGCTTGCATACTCGATTTCTAGTGTATTGGTTGTGAATAACGTAGATAACTACCATCCAGTATCCGAGCATCACGAAAACAATATATTTATCAATAAATATAATCTCTCATTCTATGTCATAATCTAAGGTTCTCTGTTACACAAATATCTTAATCTCCATTTCTGTCACCCTATCGGTATTATTTCATCTTCTCATATTATTATGTTTCCATCAAACAGTCATTTCTTCCTCTGTTTATTTCATCTCTTAATAGTATCATGTATTTTGTTAAACCAGTCATTTCATCTCTTAATATAGTATCATGTGTTTTGTTTAAACAGTCATTTTATCTCTTAATATAGAATCACGTATTTCTATAGATGAGTCATTCCCTCATATGTATATTTATCATTTAATATAGTATCATGTATTTTGTTTAAACAGCCTTTTTATCTCTTAATTTAGAATCATGTATTCATCTGTAAATTTATCACTTAATATATATAGTATCATGTATTTTGTTTAACCGGTCTTATTATCTCTTAATATAGTATTGTGTATTTCTATCGATGAGCCATTCCCTCATCTGTATATTTGTCTCTTAATATAATATTGTGTAATGTTTTGTTTAAACAGCCTTTTCATTTCTTAATATAGGACCACGTGTCTTGTTTAACCAGTCATTTCATCTCTAAATATAGTATAATGTACTTTGTTTAACCAGCCATATTATCTCTTAATACATGTCTTGTTATAGTTTTTTTTACAAGGGATTCATATTGCACTTAAATAATGCAGTGAGACTTTCGTGTATTTTATCATATTATATCTATGAATAGTAACACTACTAATATATCAATGAATAGTTACACAATTAATATATATCATATATCTATGAATAGTAACACTACTATTATATTGTATCATATATCTGAAGAGAAAGAAATGGATTTAACGTCCACTCGACACAGACTAGGTCATTTCGGGACAAACACATTGTTCAATTTCATTAACAGTGGGGTGAAACCGGAGGACCCGGAGAAAACCCACATGGTTGGACAGGCGACCCTGCTCCTTGTCACGTACAACCGGGGAATCGAAACCACGCCAGTTGACTCAATGACAGAGCTTATGATACAGCATGCACGCGCTAAGCGCTAACCATTCAGCCATCCACCCCCACCCACCCTGCCATATATCTAAAGAATAGCCTCACTGTTAATATATTGTATCATAAATACAAATTCAAAAATAGTCATAATTAAATATGTTGTATTGTATATTCCAAGAACTATCATCCATAAATTATACCGTTTTCCACATCCATAGATTGTTTAACAATAAAATATATTTTTATTGTATATTCCAAGAATTGTCATCCATTAATTATACTGTTTTCCACGTCCATAGATTGTTTAACAATAAAATATATTTTATTATACCAAATTCATAGATTTTCAAACAATAAAATATATTTTATTATGCCACATCCATAGCGTGTTAATTTTTCTTGGTGTTCTAAATCATTCAAATATCGACCATCCGATGATCTAGAGGGTTGATTATAGGCTTGACATGTGAATAAATATCTAAATAATACTTTATATAACATTTGAGACGAAAAGAAAGCCCTGCAATATAGGAACAACGAATGGAAAATGATCTCTGGATAGATTAAGGTAATTAATGGGCCATTGCTACTTTTTGACTTTTAAGTCAAGGAACGTATAGTGTTTTTAATAAAATGTTTCCTTTAATTTTGCGTTTTGTTATGTCATTTACTTTCGGTTTACAAAACGGGAAATTTTGAAACATGTCTGTTGTCGATCAGCGAATGTTCTTCTTGGATGTCATAGTTCGCATGCATACAAGATACGCCCACGTTTTGCAAGATATAGATTGGGAAAAGGGAGTGCATCACACATTTGTAAATAAAAGTCGGGTGATGATACGCACCAAAATCGAACTGATTTGTAAAGTTTCATCTGAATCGGACAAAGTTGTAGTTCCTGGAGGGCCACCAAACTTCATACATATTTCACATTTTCCGTAAAATGCATATCTAGTTAACATTGATCGTTAGATGTACGTCAGAAAATGACGTAAATATAGCGTAAAAATGACGTAAAGTTTACGTTGGATTACCGTCATTTCCTGACGTAAAATTATCGTTAAAAAGATGAGCAAAATGATGGTAAACTGATTGACCATTTTTACGTAAACTTTACGTAAATTTAACATCATGTTGTTATGAGGGTAGTCTATAGCCTATAAGAATGGAGGGTCTGATTGGTCTGATGCGTACCAAAATCGAACTTACCAAGAAATGTCATTATAATCGGACAAAAATTGTCACCTCTGGAGGATCCACAAACTTTCTACATATTTCACATTTTGCACACAAGGCCGGGGGCACACCTGCAGACTACAAATTTAAGTTTCATCTAATTCGGACAATAATTGTGGCATCTGGAGGGTACACAACCTTTGTAATAAATGCCAGTCGACAAACCTCAGCAGATTCCAGGGCCCTTATTCACGAAAACTTAAAGCGAGAATTTCAAATTTTCTAAGAAAGTCAAAACATAATTATTTCTATGTCTTTTGCTCAATAGGTTATCAAATCACTATTATACGATCATGGGCATTATTTCCCACCCTTAAAAATGTATGACACAGGAAATAACAACACAATTACCTCCCCTGTTTTGCTATTGACAACATGGGGCAGCCATTTTCCAACGTTGGAATTTGAAGTTAAAAATGATATTTTTGCCAATTTCTCAGCTGACAATAGCGAATTATAGGATTAATAGGATTATTCTTTAACAAGGTAGGACTGTTTATGGATACCATCTATTTTAAGGCTTTATTTTAATACATTTTAAAAATATAACTTGAAAATTTGCAATTTCCGCTTTAAACTAAGATAAAATCGAAATTTTAAGAAATACTGCAATTCGATTGGCTGACCAGTAAATCAATTTGCATATATCCAATGAAGTTGCAGTATTTCTTAAAATTTCGATTTGATCTTAGTTTAAGTTTTCGTGAATAAGGGCCCAGTACCCTACATCTAGCCTACTTCAAGTTCCCGGATTACGAACCGCGTTGCCCATGACGACGCCTTTGAAGAATGGTTTATCATACAAATATTTCAAAGTCTGAAGCTGTTTTTCTTTCAAGTTTATCCTATTTTCTTCAAACAAGGACAACTTTGCACCGAAAATTCTACACACGCTTCGAACGACGCAATTTTAATAACTTCTTTTTAAAAGTGGCAAGTTTTCCTAATAAGTAAACCGGTGCCGCATCGCAACTGTATAGGCGTAGGTACGTATAGTTATTAGCACACTTTCCGAGGTGTATCGGTGAATATCAGGACACTTTTGGTCGAGGGGCCCAGCCGAGGCGGCTCCCGACCAAAACTGTCCTGATATTCACAGATACACCGAGGAAAGGTACTAATAAGTTACTTACATCACATTTCTATCGAGTATTGTGAAGCAAAATGTGAAAAATAGTATTTATTATCGAGTCGTTTCAACGGAAAAGTGACAAATACTTTCTGTTATTTCATTATTTATACCTTTCTGAGCCTCACGTTACATTTCATGGTAGAATGATTTCGCAGTGGAGAGACGACCTGAGTAGTATTTACACGTGCGTCTTGCTATGATACAATCACGTGTTTGTTTAGACCACATCGTCAAAACAATGTCTATGGCGTAGAGGACTGCGATATTATTAAATGTAGTGTAAAGGAAATGCGAAACGTGGGTCATTCCTGGTGAAAGTATGCATCTGCGGATGGTTCTTCCGTTGAAATTTATTTGTAATAAAGTTTATGACTTTCTAGGCATTTTTTTTTCATCCTGCTTATTTTCAATGCCTGTGAAGTGTCCAGCAAGAGAACTGCCTTCTATAATCACAATTAATTAAAATAATTATTCAATATTCTAATTTATATATTTTGCATATTAATATAAATCAAACCAAATTATGAAATAGATGCCAATTGGTATGTATAATAATTGATTTTTGTAATATGTTGTTATGTTAATTTACTGTCATTGTATATGTTTTTGAACTGCCATGTAGTTCCCCCCATTATCTTTTGTTACTATGATTTTGACTAGTTGTTTCATGTACATCGGTTAGAGCCTCGTTATCAATTGCGATCTGGGTCGGACTAAACGTCCGCTACTTATTGCTTGATAGATATCTAAAACGGTATAAAAGTATCCGTGTATCAGAAATGATCAGTACTCTTTCTGTACATTTCTGATACACGGATACTTTTAAGCATGTATTGCAATTAAACAGGACAGTTTTATCAAAGGTTGTCAGTGGCAACGAGTAGAAGTGGGATGTAAATATCACTTGCCGAGGTAGAGTAACGGAATCTGCCGAGGTTTGCCGAGCGTATTACATAAAATAAAACCAAGTACGAACAATCCAAACCATAAGACAGAATTCGAAGTCCTAAAAAACGTTATAGGCAAAATAGTGTATTCAAGCTAAAAAGTGTAATCAGCAAATGGACTGCTCCTCGTGTACAAAATACACATGCTTTACAATAATTGCGAAAAGCTGAGCGGCCATTTTGATGTGCGCGTGAAATCACAAGTTCTGTCATTGAATCAAATGGCGTGGCATCGATTCCCCGCTTGAATGTGACATTAAGACGTAGGGTCGTCCGGTTTCATCCAACTGCAAAAGACACCTACGCGCAGGCTAATTAATGAAATAAAATTGAACCATATGTTAGATCCACAATGACCTTATTTGTGTCGAATGGACGTGCAAGTCCATTTCTCTCTCTCTCGCCATTTTGACGGGAAGTGATATATTTGAACGGTTTTAAAATCAACTAAAAGTTGTGACATTAGAGGGTCCACAGGCTAAAAATGTGACATTTCGTACAATGATCGGGATTATAAATCCAGGAGGGTACGGCCCTGTTTGTGCCAATATCGACACGAACCGAGATATTTTGAAAATAAACGCGTCTTTTAAGTTGAGTTACAATCGGTAAAAATTGTGACCTATTGAGGGTCCACAACCCCCATGATCCACATGGTATAATATGGTTTTTATACAGCCACACGGGATTCGTGACTAAAAATGTACCTTGGAGGGGCGAGCTCGGCAATTTGGGATAAATTGCCTTTTTTTCTTACCGTACCTTAATAGACAATTACACACGTTTAAACCTAAACCTTACTTTTGTCCTTATTTTAACTCAAATAATTAAATTTTCTTAATTTGATTATTTTAAAATCTTAATGCCTTTTCTAAACTTTTTTTTTTAGCTAGTACTTAACTTTTAAAATTTAAGTTAGATTTGGGGGGTTGGATGGCTGAATGGTTAGCGTGCGCGCGCTGTATCATAAAGTCTGTCATTGAGTCGACTGGCGTGGTTTCGAATCCCCGGTTGTACGTGACAAGGAGTAGGGTCGCCTATCCAACTTCGTGGGTTTTCTCCGGGTCCTCCGGTTTCCTCCTACTGCTAAAGACCCCTATGCGCAAGCGAATTATTGAAATAAAATTAAACCATATGTTAGTCCCGAAATGACCTAGTTTGTGTCGAGTGGACGTTAAACCCCATCTCTCTCTCTCTTAAGTTAGATTTATCCTTTGGTCTATTTCGCTTTCCCAGGTCAATTTACTAGGAAATATATGTACCTACCTAACGACGAAGAATTCCAAGAGTATTCCATCCATCTGGAAACTGGTTCTCCTTCAAATTTGCACCTGGAAACTTCTTCTCCTTCCAGGGATTTCATTCAGGGTCGACTTCCTTACGTCAACGGCACCAAAAAGAAATTAGACGTGACACTTTGCACTATGGGGCTACGATGTAACTATCCTTCGTCACGGCACTAAAAGCCATCTAGATGTGACCCTTTCCAATCACGAATCTCCAGAAAACTAACTGTTACACAATGGTGACACTTATCTAATCAGGACTGTGTACCTTTTTTAAAATAGATCAATTAACTCTAGAACATTGTGTTGTTAGAACTATGTTTTTATAACTTTATAACATCCAGTCATCTGGAGGGATTTCGATTCCCGGGTTGTACGTGACAAGGAGTAGGGTCGCCTGTCCAACCTCGTGGGTTTTCTCCGGGTCCTCCGGTTTCCTCCCACTGCTAAAGACCCCTACGCGCAAGCGAATTATTGAAATAAAATTGAACCATGTGTTAGTCCCGAAATGACCTAGTTTGTGTCGAGTGGACGTTAAACCCCATTTCTCTCTCTCTTTTTATAACATCCATAGTACAAAGGTTATATACAGGAAATTACACGGCTATGCCATTAAATATAAGCTAAAGTTTATATGTTGATCTCGCCCGGCATCTAAAGGTGTGTCTCTCTACGGGCCTTGCATGATATCTTACTCCAGCCCCGAGCCAGCGGCTGCGGTTGCATCCTTCGAAGAACCCCGCATGATGTCTAAGCCAAGGAGTCTTTGGGATCGTCCTTCTGATAATATCCAATGATGTCTGATTATACCATAGAGTCTCAAAGGTGCCAAGGGTTACTTGATAAATCTACATGATGTTTCTTTCCCAGTCTCGAATGATGTCTGAAACAAATTTAATCACGCTCTTTAATTTATCTAAAACGTATAGACATGTAATATATTATGGCGGACCATTATCATATTTGGTTAAG